TCGCTCGTTTACAACCGCGATTTGTTGCGAGCCCCGCGGGAAAACTCTTCGTCGCTTTGTCCCACGAACGAGTCTGCTGGCTTGTTGGAACATTTTTAATCCGGAGCATTCCTCCGAAGATTTGTAACTCGTAGAAATTTGCATAAAAAATTGAAATTGTAACGTTAGGGACGTGACGCTGAATCCCTTAGGAATGCTCCTGGACCCACGCGTTACATGATTTACGATGACCCAACAATCCCGTGAATGACCTTCATCTTTTAAAGCTGTAAGAGACCTGCACCCAAGGTCCCCTCGCTCAAGCTGCCAGAATTTCTTCTCTCTATTATACGTAGGGGCTAGGGTAGACCGTACCCCTTCAATTGCGGACTTACACGTATCGCTTAGATAACATTCTTCTGGTCTGCAGCGTAAAATTTGCAACATTGTGCACTGTCGTTGACCTAGCCGGCCTTGCAAGCCACAGTTAAAATCCATAAAGAGGACGAAGAAGCAAATGGTATTTAAAGTGGTGGAAGAAAAGAAGTAAGCAGCAGCCGATCGCAGACAGGGCCCCCAACGAAGAGAAAAACGAGCCGTTTGTAAGTCATCGAGCCGACAGCAGTCAGTCGGGAACAAAGGGGAAGCCGGTGGCGAGGATCGCGAGCGGGGTGTTGAACGGGGTCTGCAAGTTGCAAATATGGCAATCGTAATGGAAGGAGACTTCCATCTTGCGCTTTAGTGTCTACCAGGAGATAGATTAACCGTGTGCAACCGCGGCTATGCCTGCCTGCCACCCCCACCGGTCGCTCGCGGCCCGTACAAAAGTATAATATGCACCACTGTCTGTCCTTTTCTTCCGTACCCCTCCACCTTGTTCCGGTACCCCACTACGTTGACGATCCGTTGCAGTTCGCGGTACTAGCGAAGGAAGAAAGAGGAGGAGGTGACGGAGGAGGTGGAAGAGAAGGAGGAGGAAAGTCCCGCACGGTGGTGGTTCATTACACGGCACGAACACCTTGGCCCGGTGAGAAAGTGTGCATCCACATGCACGCGGGTGCAAGCAGCCGCGTATGCAACGAGTAAGAAAGCGTATTAGGTACGCAGGCATGCGATCCCGGCTGAAGGAGGGCGGTCCGAGGAGACAGGTGCGAGCCAATCGCGGCCCGCCACGTGCAATTTCCCTCGGCGTCTCTCTTTCCACGTTCATTTCTCATTCCTCCTCTGTCTCCCTACCCCTCTTGTGTTCTTCTTGCCTCCGCGCGCTCAGCCGCCCGCCGCGCCGCGCCGCGCCGCTGCTAACTTATTTAAACGAGACTCGACCCCGTCACTGCGAGTACGAATCCCTTTCGTATTCGGCACCGATGCGCCCTGACTCGAGAGCAACGACCCCCGCAACGATTCTTCGGCCGCTGCTTTTATCGATCGGCCTCCTTTGTACCGCGACCTTGTACTTACTACACAGGATACGCTAGCATCTTTCTACGAGATAAGCAGCTGTAGGAATATAGGCCCCAAAGTAAGTACACAGACTGCGTGGCCAGATACCTATATTCGACCCCTGAAAATTTTCTCTTCCGATCTCGATGACCCAGAGGCGAAGAAACGTATCCTGAATCAAGCAGACGATGTCTGTGCAGCAGGGCGTAATGGTGCTCGTAAATCTCGAAGATCCTCGTCAGCGGAGATCGAAGATCTCCGACAGGAAGTGTCTTCCTCTTTGCGAGGCGTTAGCGCTGGGACTCGTGAAAGTTAGAGAACCGGACTGTCAGCGTGTTACTGGCAAATTCGTAGCTTCTTCGAAGCAAAGAGGAGCAGGAAGCAGGCTGGCTGCTGTGAATTATGACTTCCGACCCATTTTCGCATTGTCGCGGGGCCTGGGGTACTCGTTAGGCATCGCTGGCCTCTAAGTCTCCTCCGGTTTATGATTTACTGCCTAATAAATCATCCGCTGCACCGACCCGAGGCTGTATCCTCGACAAAAGTCACTCGGCTTGTGCCACGCGGCCCCCTAACAGTTGGTCAAGGCATTGCGCAACCAAAGACCTAGCTGCTTGTGACCTGCCCGACCAAAGAAAGGTACTGGTCGAATTATCGCCCCATTCCTGATCCCTCGCTGCAACCACCTGCACCTCTCACTGCGCTATTCGACGCGTGCCTACCTCTATTCTTATGATTTACAATCCTACACGGATGGTCCTAGAGGCGTTTGACCATGATAACAAATCTCCTTAAAATTGACACTGCATAAGATACGGTATGAACTTTAGGCTAGGAATTATTTTCTCCCAGTCGAACTACCCCGGTCTCGAAGAACAGGTCAGAAACTGATCGCGAAGCCATACGAGGGACTGGTGTTCGCGCCCAATAACACGTAATCGAATTAAACCTATTTTATGGCTAGTATAGATAATCTAGTAAGGTTCTGCTTAGCTACTGCGTTCGACACGCCCAGTTGTTTCTTTGTTACCTTCGAAACTTGTCCCTGGGATGTTTAACTGACAGCAAATTCGGAAGCTTACATTAGTTAAGTCTTCTCGCAAGCAAGCCTAATAGCAGTCATTTTTCTCTAATGTTGTCTCCGGCTAAGAACGCAGGATTAACGAAAATTTCTGTTCAAAATTTCAGCTGGAATTCATAAATAGAGGATGGAGAAATAATTGGTATATCTGTCCTCGCAAACACCTCGTAAATTTAGTTTTTAAAACAGCATTCTCACGATGCAGTGCAAAAAAAAGAATCGTCTAGCGTCTAGACGCATTCCTGAGGCGGAACGTATCTCTGTTGATCGGTTGTCGTGTCGGTCGGGCTGCGGTCGACGCGACGGTCGAGCGCAGCGCCGTGGATCCGGAAGTTGAGCGGCGTAGGTGGGAACGAAAGAGAGAGAGGGATATCCCCGGTATAATAATTAATAAGTGGTCGCTGAGTGGTTCGTGCAAGCCCCGCCTCTTACCCCCTGATTTATGAACCGCGCCGCCTTCCTTGTCATAACCGAGTGTACAAGGTTGGCGTCCTGGTGGGGCGTGTTAGGAGTGGGGGGGCGCAAACTACACTGGTGGGGAAAGGGTGACGCGTGACGTTGCGCGACGCGAGGCGACGCGACGCGACGGTACCTACGCCCAGGCCGGTTCTTTACCAAGCGATCAGTCGGTTCTCGTCCTTGCCGGATGACACTGGGTGACTCGCGGACGCCCGGCCGAAACGCAGCGTAGTTTCCACGCGCCACCGCAAGTCGGCGCCACGACTGAGCCTCCTCCGCGTACCCGAGGAGACATGCAGCTTATGAGATGGAGCATCACGCGTCGCCTCGAGTGCCGGGGGAGCAAGCAATCCACTTGCAGACCCTCCAGATTCTCCTGTCCCCGATCTTCTGGTACGCATTCACCTTCAGCCCGCCTCCATTCCGTGCCTATGGTGTATCTTAACACGGCTACTTGTGTTTCCATTTGATCGCGAGTGATTTTTCTTCGATGATCGCGAGAAGTTCGATCATGCCAGCTGTGTGACCAGTGAAACGGAATAGTAATCGCGCTGTTTCCACTTTTCATTGGCTTCGGTGTGCGATTATTAACGCGCTCAATCTGGATGATGTCTCGAGTCATGAAACCAGCTCGTAAAATCAACAGTTTAAGAGCTATACAAGGAGATCTTAGATCAACTTCCTGACCAACTGTTGGATCGCACCGTGCACGTTTTAAGGTTATGTCGATGCGCGTTGCGCTTGACGTCTTAAGACATCACCCGGGTTTCCCAGGCGACGTTGTGGGATATTAGTCCCAGAGCTATTTGTTTCATATCATTGACACGAATTTGCGTCATTTGTCGTCTCCATGGACCTTTCGTCCCATGATCGTTAAGTAAAATTGAAGCGACGGTGATTAACAATTCCGCTTCGGCCCCGCGGCGGCCAACGTACATTTGAACCGAACCGTTGCAGCCTTGGCGACCGGTTCAAGCGTGAAACGAAACCTTATGAGCTTTCGTCTGTTATCTTCGCTTTCGGCCTGAACCTTAGATCTTCGATCCTCTCTTAATTTCATTCGTATTTCTTCGACGCTTCATTTCTCATTGTTAGTTCTAAAGTGAAACTTCTTTGGAACTTGTTGCAGTGAAATTCTATGGGCGTGCTTTGTTCACTTCTTCGATGTTCGCATCAAAGTGCTTGGTGACACTAACACAGCTTTCAATTTCGTTGGCATTGATCGCAGCATAGCTCGTCGAGTTTTACAGTGTTTCGAATCACAGCAATTCGTCATATTTGTCACGTTCGAACAATAGAACGTTTCGTATGCTATTACATTGTGGTTGGATGAGTGGAAAATCCAGGTCTCGGACGTTCAACAAGGTCCTATTTTCTAGAAATGACGATTTTGCAACGAATCGATTGCACGCTTCGATTTGTTTATAAAATTATACAAATGGTCAACAATGGGATGCCGATCAGTTGCAAGAATAACGCACACGTCTTTGGCATTTCAAAGGCCATCGTCGCAAGTGTGTGTGCGTGTAACCCTCCTTAATATGTGAAGTTCGTCGATCAAATGCCTGTTGTTGCATCGTTAACACCTATTAACTGATTCGCATTCATAACGCATGCACGGTATCTGAAACGAGTAACGCTTCTTGTTCATTTTTTTCGTTATTAATGCGATACATATAAATGGTTGAAACGTCGAATACAAACGAAACAGGCATGGCTTCTTCTCGGACGAGTTGCCTTCGCGCTGTACACACGGAACGGGCTTCTATTTCCCTCTTCTGATCGAAGATAGAAGAAAAAAAAATTGAATAATTTAATGAGATTCAAGTTTGTCAGTCTTCATTCGCAGAATACTGGCTCCAGGGTATTATTTAAATAACGTTATTGTATTTCCAATCCAATTTGCTTTGGGCGAACGTGCACGAACACGCTTAACTTTTTCCATCCATCGCACTCTGCTTGAGAATAATAATTTTGACGCTTATTAAAATAAGTTTGGACGAGGTGAAATTAATTGTAGGATTACGATGGCATGTTACAGGAGAGGAAAATGACTTTACGTCGGATGGTGAAGAAAGTGCTGGCGGAGGGGGTGGAGGAGACGAAGCCGTGGATCTCACGGCATCCAGGTCACATCAGGGTGACGAGGACGACAAGGATCAAGATGATGCTCTGGAGGAGGATGAAGAGGAAGGTGTTGACGAGCAGGACGAGCAGGAAGACGACGAGGAAGGGTCACGGAAGCAGATGCGTCACAGACAGGATGCGGAGAACAACAACAACTTCGTGGAGGGTGGTACACCCGCTAGTCTGTTCCCACCTGCTGGAACTAGTCACGTCACCCTGGAAGCACTGCAGAACACGAAGGTGGCGGTCGCTCAGTTCGCAGCGACGGCTTTGGCCGGTGGCGCGGACAGCGAGGCGGCTCTGCAAGATCTGGCACTGTTGCAGAGCACCCTGTACACTCTTCAGCATCAGCAGGTGTTCCAATTGCAGTTGATCAGTCAGCTACAGCAACAACTGTCCATCACCCATAGTCAGTCGGCGCAGCCGCAAGGTACGCCCGAACCATCGGACAGTAAGGAAATATCTCCGTCTCCCTTGATCCAGCCTAAACCTCTGTCGAGTCTGACGTCACCTCCTTCGTCGCGTCCGCCGAGTCACCAAGAAACCTCGCCAGCTCCGATGACGCCGAATCTCGGTCAGGAACGGCCAACGCCGACCAACAGTGCTTCTCCGTTAAGTATACCGTTGGCTTCGTCGAACGCGACGGGCACAACCGTCGCCGTCGCCGCCGCCGCCGCCACCAGCAGTAGTAGTCAAGTGCCAATTGCCCATCAAATGCCGCCGCTCTGCTCCATCAGCTCTTCCCTAGCCTCGTCAATAATAACTAACACCGATCCACCTCCGCTACACGAACCAAACACGCTGGAGATGCTGCAGAAGAGAGCGCAAGAAGTACTGGACAACGCCAGCCAGGGTCTGCTGGCTAACAACCTGGCCGACGAACTTGCGTTCAGAGGGGGCAAAGGCTCCCGTCTCTCTCCGTACGATTCAAAGTCCGGTAGCGGTCGCGGGGAGCCGTTCTTCAAGCACCGATGCCGTTATTGCGGCAAGGTGTTCGGCAGCGACTCGGCGCTTCAGATCCACATACGATCGCACACAGGTGAGCGACCCTTTAAATGCAACGTCTGCGGCAGCCGCTTCACCACGAAAGGGAACCTGAAGGTCCACTTCCAGAGGCATACGGCCAAGTTTCCACATGTTAAGATGAACCCGAATCCCGTTCCGGAACACCTGGACAAGTACCACCCACCCTTGCTACAGCAAATCGCGTCTGGTCAAAGACCGATGCCGTCCCCGCCGCCACCACCACCTTCTCACCATCCCTCTTTTCACCCGGCGGCGGCGCACGGTTTTTTACCTCCTCAGCCGCCCCTGCCACTCAGTTTAGCCCTGCCCGGTATGCAACCTCTGTACAGATCACCAGTTGTCGCTCATCGGGACGATCAGGACGTGCCGGAGAACCTGAGTAAGCCTGTTACCACTGCCCCGACCACGTCCCCACATTCCCCCGCGGTTGTGTCGAACTCTCGTCATTCCTTTCACGACAATCACCACCACCACCACCACCACCAACAACAACAACAACATCAAAAGCAGCAGCTCGAACAGAGGGACGAGATCAAGCTTGAGCAACGATCACCTATGCAGGAGCAGTACCAACAGCATCCACAGCATCAACAACGTCCCACCAGTCAAGAAGCCACCACCGGGAGGATAACACCGAAGAAGGAACCGGAAGAGGCGGAGGAGCCGACGGAAGAAGAAAGCGAAGATTTCGAGGAAACGACCAGACGGTATTTAAATTCACCCCAATCGTCGGTTAATCCACCCTCTCAGCCGCAGACCTACGAAGACTGTAGTATGGACAGCAAAATCAGTGGCCGATTGGAAGGGGACGGCGACATGGAAGTTGACGAGGAGATCGAGGAACAACCTGAAAATTTGTCCGGTCGTGGGACGATTAATCGGTTGCCTCAGCATATCGTTGCGTACCCTGGTGCTTCTCCTGCCAGCAGTAGCGCGAGCAGTGGAAGTCTTCAAACCTCCTTCGCGGGAATTCTGTTTCCAGGACCACCTGCCCATCATCAAATACCACATCATCCTGCCTCGACAACTGTAAACGCGTCCGCAGTCTCGGCCAGCGACATGATCGACCCGGCCAAGGATCCAGCCATCTACTCCAGCCTCTTACCACGGCCGGGCAGCAACGACAACTCTTGGGAGAGTTTGATCGAGATCACCAAGACCTCGGAGACGTCGAAGCTGCAGCAGTTGGTCGACAATATCGAGCACAAACTGACCGACCCGAACCAGTGCGTGATCTGCCATAGGGTGCTCTCCTGCAAAAGTGCATTACAGATGCACTATAGGACCCACACCGGTGAACGTCCGTTCAAGTGCAAGATTTGCGGTCGAGCATTTACCACTAAGGGCAACTTGAAAACTCATATGGGCGTGCACAGGGCGAAACCACCGCTCAGGGTACTGCATCAATGTCCCGTGTGCCACAAGAAATTCACGAACGCGCTTGTTCTGCAGCAACACATACGTCTGCACACCGGCGAGCCAACGGAATTGAGCCCGGAACAAATTCAAGCCGGCGAGGTGAACGAATTCCCACCGGGTTATCCGCACCATCCTCTCGCCTCGTTCCTCCCGCAGGCCTTTCCACCGATTCATCCGGCAGGACCGGGCTTTCCGTTAGGCTTTCCACCGAGCCGGCAACAAACGATGGAACGGCAGCCTCAGGATAATGATGTAGACATCAAAGAGGAGTCGCAACAACACCGAGAGCAGCAACAACAGCAACAGCAACAGAGGTACATTGAAGAGCAGAGCGAAGAGGTGGAGGAGCAAGAAGACGAGGAAGAGGACCGCAGGGACGACGACGAGAGGTGCGGCATGAACCGCGATAATCGAGGTGATGCGGAACAGGAGGACGAGCAAGATCGCGAGAGCGAAGATAACGAGCACAAGGATCCTCCTTTGCCCAATTTTTCCACCTCCCTAGCTGCTCTCGAGAACCAAGTGCGAACGATAACGACCACGGCCACGTCGGGCTTAGGAAACGCGGCTAGGTCGCCGCCTTTTCACCGGTACAACGGCAGCGAAAAGAGTAACAGTCCGCCAAATGCTGGTGCCCCTTTAGACTTGACACCCCGAGCATCGTCGACGCCAGCCTCGGTAGCATCGGTACCAACGCCGCCACCGCAGCTCACGCACCATCCACACCCGTTCGGCATGTTCGCAGGCCTTCTACAAGCGGTCTCTTCCTCACCGTCTACCAGCAGCATAGGAACCAGCAGCATAAATAGCGTCAGTTCGATGAACGCTGTGACTGCCGGTTCAGGCGCGGCTGGGCCCCTGGCGTCCCTCACCACGTCAGCCGTGTTGGCTGCCACCTCGACCTACAACCCGCTCGGCCTGGCTGTCGGAGGGCCAGCAGGTAGGCGCTGCTAGCATCAGGGCGAGCTGCAGTTCCTGCTACACCTCCCGATCGATCTGACACGATTCACTGATCCTGACCGCCAGTCTCACTGATTCGTCCACCTTGTCCAAGCTGTATATCGACGTCCTGTTTTGTGGTGTAGCCGGACCTAGCACTCCCACCCTCCCGCTTGATAAGTTTTTCTTTATCTATTATCCGTTTGGACACCTTTGTTTCGGTCATTTCTTTGTCCATACCTCTGTCATTCGTTCATTCTTTCTTTCTTTCTTTCTTTTTTACGTTCTCCGTTCGAGTCGCTTTTCCGAGCTTCTTCTTTCAAAAGACTCGAAATTCGACGCGGCCCACGAGCTAGTTTTGTATTTTCTCTTTAGCGCCTTCTCGAGAAAAGAAAACGCTCCCTCCGGATACTGTGGACATTTTTGAATGAATAAATCTGTTTGCAAAACGTATTGCTGCCTTCACGATTCATTTCACTCCTTCCGTCGCGTCGTGGTCGGGCTGTAGAGAAACGGTGGAGAGATTCTAACGCAATCTTGGAATTTTACATAATTCACAAACTTAACAATCGTTCCACGTCTTGAAGTATCACAAATCCACTTTTGAAGCGTTTCACGATTAAATTAACTCTCTTATTGTCGCGATCCAGTAATAAATCCGACACTCTTTTACAAACGAGCCGCGGCTACAAATTGCTTTCACGGACGTAGAAAAGCGCGCGAAAAGTGTCGGAAAGCAATTGTAAAGAGCCACGATCTGTTACAGTGCGTGGAAACACCACGTGTAACATCTGCTACAAGACATTTGCGTGCAACTCTGCGCTGGAGATCCATTACCGGAGCCACACGAAGGAGCGACCTTTCAAATGCACTATATGCGACAGAGGCTTTTCCACAAAGGTAATGGAATTTTCTTACGAATTCGGGACGTTGATTCTCAGAAGTGTTTGCTGCTCGCCAAACATGTCTCTTAAGACTTAAGGGTAGCCTGCAGTGTCGTGCAACTCGATGAAACGTTACGATTTACCATTAATCTAGATATTTATTATACTTTTCTGATTGCTCGATCGAGATATTGAAAATAAACGTCCATAAATTCTTCGTAGTTTTAAGTTTGACAAGAAAAATTCTGGTTCCACTTTCTGTTCGTTCTCCGTTGCTGGAAATCGACTTATCACGTACATCAAGCCTGACCCCTGATCGGCTTTATCCGCCCATTCTGTACCTTTGTTTTTTTCTACGATACTTTCAGAACGATGGTTCCGGGCAGCAAGCATGCATCTGCGCGTCCCAACCGTTGCCCGCTAACAGTTCGATCACTTCACCCGATCCTCAGTGCGCCAGTAGTCGAGAAAAAGCGAAACGCAGGCGGCGGCGGCGACCTGAGGAGCGGAAGAGCCGGGGGCGGAAAGGAGCCGGAGGGGGGCGGGGGTTGACGCCTGTCTATCCTGCCATCCGCCTACCCCCGCTGATGTCACCCGCCCTCGGACTTCTACCCTCGGCGCACAGCCTCCTGGTAAGAGCCTGCTGAAATTTTCTGATTTTCAGACCGACAGCGATCATAACACCACTATGTATCTCAACAAACGTTGCTTGTTTTTTTTCTTCCTTTCTTTTTTCTATTATTCTTTTTCTTTTTTTTTTTTTTTTTTTTTTTTTTCATTACTTGCTATTCTCACTCGTGTCTGTTCGATACGACGAGACATCAGAGATTATGCAAAGTGGTGCGATCGATGAAGTGATTGAACCCTCCGGTGGGTGTTCGCTTACCGATACTTAACTAAATGTTTTTCTTAATCACAGGGCAATATGAAGCAGCACATGCTGACCCACAAGATCCGTGACATGCCGCCCCATCTGTTCGGCGATTCAAAGCAACAGCATCAGCAGCAACCCCAAGACCACGAAAGCTCGAGAAGTCCTATGTGCACCGACGATTCCAGTCTACCTCCACCTCCGCCGCCTCCGCCACCACCTCCACCGATGCCTCCAACTTCAATGGAGCAAGCCATTTCGGTGAAGAGATCCCCGTCCGAAGGGGACCTTCCAGCACCAAAGAGACCAGCCAGTAAGTAGCAACACCGATCGAACAAGAGGCCTGCTTTTGCTTCTTCATCGAGCATACATACTTCGCGACCGTCCAAGGCTTGGCTTAGCATTGTCTAACTGTCCCGCTAACGAATCGCATCCGAGCTTTTTTCTTCAGTTAGCGAGAATAGCGTTAGCCGGCTTCGCTTACTTGCACGCTTACTTCTGCTTTCTTCGCATCGCTATTTTGTTCACGCGAATTTCTGGTGGCAGGTCTTGCTCCTTCTTTCACCCCTTCGTTTCCATCTTCTGTGAACGCAGACCGATGCTTCGAATAAAGACCCTTCGTCGGGAAAAAGAAAAGACAAGCTTGAGCCCCGTTAAACGTACAAACGTCAGGGTCTGTTTAGCGAAACTGTGTGTGTGTATTTGCAGGCGTGCCGAGCAAGCACTTGTGCCAGATATGCAATAAGAATTTCTCCTCATCTTCGGCGCTCCAGATCCATATGAGAACTCACACGGGCGACAAACCGTTCCGATGCACCGTCTGCCAGAAGGCCTTCACCACCAAGGGCAATCTCAAGGTATACACATCATATTTCCCCCTCTTTTTCCTTCTCTTCGTTTCTCTTCTTCTCTTTATATATCACTTTGTTTTTGTTTTCTTTCACTACCCATCCCTTCATTCCACTCGTGACACCCTGGTATTCTTCAAGTTTACTCACTAACACCAGCTAGCTGCTATCGCTTGTACTAACGCTGACGCGTAACGTACAGAAAAACGCAAGCTCGATGAAAGATCAGCGCAACTGTCCAATCCTGAATAGAGCCCTTCTCACCTGACTGCTTTTCTGATCGCAGGTGCACATGGGCACTCATATGTGGACCAACGGAGCCTCTCGTCGAGGTCGTCGAATGTCGTTGGACCTACCTCCCCTTCCTATCACGCCCAAGGATTCGGAGTTCCTCCAACGACGGCCGGATCTCTTCTACCCTTATCTACCCGCACCGTTCCTTAACGGCGTGCAGCAAAAAGTAAGTAGCCATTTTGTAAAATATCACGTGTTCTTCCCTTGTTTCTTGTTTTTCTTTATCCACACTTGGTTTGTAAGCACTTGATGCACCTCTACGAAGACTTCATAAAAAGATCATTTCTCTGACTCTTTGAGTTCCCAGTCAGACTGCGTGAAAATTTGATATATGTATGTCCGACACGGTTAACGATTATTCTCTTTCATTTTTGTAGGTAATTGTCCACGAATAAACCTAACCAGATCGGCGTGCATTACTTACAGCTGAACGAGATCTCGGTGATACAAAGTAACAACGGATTACCTGGCCACTCGGTGGCCGCCGGCAAGTACGCAGGATTGTTCGGCTCGGTGTACGCAGCCGGGGCTGGATTTCCGTTGGACAAACAACAAATGGCGGGGACCAACAACGGGCCCCTGATCGACGGAAAATCCTCGATCCCATCCGGGTCGATGCTTTTCCAAACGCCATCACCGTCCCACTCGCCCGGCACACCGTCGTCGAACGGTAGCAATCAAAACACCGGCGGCGTTCCTCCATGGACAGGTGATGCTCTTCAACATCATTTCGAGAGAGAGGCTGCTACAAGACCGGAGAACAACTCCACACCACCCACGGCTCGACTTCCGCCTCCGCCAGCGGCAAGGGGTGAAGGATTGGCCACGTGAAGCCCGACCGGTACATATCTTCCTTCTTCGAGGCTTCATGCTTTCGGCAACTGAACTCCGTCCTGGCTGCTACAAAAATATAGATAGACAGACAGATAGACAGACAGACAGACGTTCATGCAGGGCCGGGCAGTGTTTCAGTGCATTTCGAGACAAAATGGACCCGAACGTCCAACGACATATCCACCTGATCCCCGGAAGAGCCAGCAGACACCATGTTCCTATTGTTACACTAGTCTTAAACACGTTAAAGAGGACCGATGGGCCCGGCAGCTGAAGTCCCAACGTAAATGGGTCTGACTTCCGGTCTACAGTACCCCGGCGACGTGATTTCGCACGAGGGTCCGACGGATGCGACGCCTAGACTGAGCCGTTTGGCCACAAGACACGTGGCGTCGCGACGTCCCGGCCCTTCATACTCTGACCGTCCATGCGCGACAGTGATGGTCACCTCACTTAGGGTTTATCGTATAATATAAATGTGTGTACAGGATGTATCGTGTAATCGAATGACCTTGAACATCCCTCTACCCGCTGACAAAAATCGCATTTTATCTTCAAAGGATTTACGCTACGGTCATTCTCGTATCGGCTGCGTTTACGGAGATGCTCGAGGTATTGGCCTCACACGATATATTCTGTACAGGGAAATATAAATATATACATAAAAAAAGAAGATGATATATATATATTATAAATATATAAATATATAAATATAAAAATATTATATCGGTGCGAAGGGGTATGAGTGCGCGAGTTGTATACACGTGCGAGTACATGCGTCGCTTTCTTTTTTCAAGAAGGTCGTTTTTAGGAATTTAAAAAAAAAAAATGGCGGGCCCGGCAGCGCCCTCGCTGTGATATGAGAGGAGCAGCCTGCAATCATTTAAACCAATGTACTTATACTTTGTACCATAGTATTATTATTATTTACACTCGATGTACAGCACGCAGCCAGAAAACCGTGTCCCGTCGTTCTTTTCTATGGAAAGACAGTCGACCTAGATTTGTGTTCCCCCGAACCCCATCGATTAAAACTTCTCTAAACAAATGAAACTATAATTCCGTTCAGATTAATCGTACGTATGCATACATATATATTTATATAAGGAAAGAAAGTTGTTAATTCCTATTTGGATTGATTTTTCGCGTCCGTCGATTTCGCAGTGGTTCGGATCAATCATGTTTTCAACGAACATCACAGCACGTGAATTCCACCATTTTCACACACACACCCCCATCCCCCCCAATCCTCTCCTCCCACGTCGATCACGTGACGCACGATGTTCGGTATTTATTGTATAAAACAATTTGACAATGTGATATTTCACTATATTATTACGTTAGGATGTATAAAATGATTGGAAAATTGACAAATGCGTAACGCGAATGTAGCGAATGAATAATAATAAACTCTCTGATTGATAGAAGTAAAGATTCTTTGGGCGAGTCCATCTTGAAATTTTCGGAAAACTGTACAGACATTCAACTTCTCGATGATTTAATATGTAACAAAATATTTACACGCGTGATAATTCATATTTTTAGAAAAATGGCTGATCAAGTGGCATTTATATGTATAATTAACATTATTTCGTTTATCACGCGATTAAATATTAATTATAATTGTCGAAAGGTTTGGACGACGCATCGCACATCACGTGATCATGAAACTTCTAACAACAAACTTAACCACTTAGCTCGTCGTTACAAAAATTAACAGGTTGACTGCATTTGTTATTTACTATTTTATGTGATTTAATTAGAAATTCAACCTTTTTTTCGTTTAATTTTTATAGCAGTCGATGTGTTAATCCAAATGTTTATCTTGAGCCGCCCTAGTGTTTGAGAAAATGTTACTTTATCATTTTTCCAGAATAGCTTCCCGTCAAACTTAAATGGCGTACGAATTAAAAAAGTAATGTTATTTTTATTTTTGCAAACGCTAGGAGCAGTTCTGTTTATCACAAACGCATAAAAACATTTTTTTTTTACTTACAGACGAACCACATTCGCATAAAATTGACTAAACGTAAACGATTTCAAATTGTATCATGTTTTCCAAAAGAAACAAACAAATTCATAACCGAATTCGAACACTTGATTAACGTGCATGCATCGTGAATTGTGCAATTGATCGCATACATTAAATACTCGTGTATAATGGCTTACCTGTATGTCCTTACGTTTAACCATGAACTGCGAAGGGAGAAGAAGAAAGACATGAAACGATACGCGTGTAAAAAAAAAAATGTAAAAAATAACGATAGCAACGTACGTGTGTCACAGTAGACACTTGCATAATTCATTTGACTTTTCACTAGATTAGAATTAACGAGAACTCTCATACAAAACACTGAAAAGAAATGTCACCTGATCCTAGTCTCGATGGCGATTTTTTACGAATCAAAAATTGTAAAGAATGATGGAAAATGTCAGAACGCCAATTTTTAAAAATATACATATAAAAGTATAGATCATAGAAAACACTTGAATTCGAATTTTTTACTTAAACGTTAATTAAAAATATCATTTTTGTTTCTGCAACGATAAAGTGCTACTAAAACAATTTTATATGAAATGTATTAACGTGTTTGAAATTAAATTCTCAGCCAAATGTCATTTCAATAACGAAATAAATTGATATATATAATTTTTGATTCTGTCCAAAGTTCGAGGTTAGGTCCCGTGAATAGGTCAACAAAGGGAAGAATGTTACCAACGCTGAAAGAGAAAAATCAAAAGTTCGTTTCCGGTTCAAACCCAATGGTTTGTCATCGAACAACAACTGTCGTATACATAATATATACATAATACAATTGTAAATAAAGAACAGGTGATAAGTGTAGGACGAGTTCGGTTAGAAAAAGTCGATGTAAATCGTTAGTGTGCTACTCAAAAAAAAAAATGTTTCTCGTAATGTTAAGTGGGACATTTACACGTTTCAAGTACACCTATGTCGTTTTTAAAAATGATGGGAAAACGGGGGGACGAAATGCCCGGCAGCCTATTCCCTGATTGCAAGTCCTGTGAAATTGTCCAAAAAAAAAGAAATAACAAAGTATTGCTTGTACGATCTTGTGTTTTCTTGTACATATTGTATAATCCATGTATAAACTCGACTCTGCTAGTTGCGAAACCTGTCATTGTAGTTAAATTACGTTACGGATCATTATATCTATATCACTTCAACAATAAACAATTATTATGAAGAGCTATGCTTTCCCATTTAATTTATAATTAGAAAGGTGAAAGTACTTAATTAGTACTTTGAGTAAAGTGATTGATTTTATAAGTTGAAAATATTATACAAACTGTTCCACGCATTTTTTAAATTCAAATTTAAATTACCGCGCACTGTGATAACATCATCAATAGTCGCTCTATCGGTACGTAGATTTCATAAATACCACCCGTCGATAATGTTATTTCCTTCATGAACATCGGGTGATCAGTAATCTTGAATTCTTGTTCATTTTGAACAAAGTGCATACAAATCTTAGAGAATGGGTTATACAAGGTCAGCTTGTTCTCGTAAAACTTTATTTTAACAGAAATATTTATACATTTAAATCATAACATATAATTTTATACACATTTATTTACAATGTTCACTTGTAAAACAATAAATTTTTATGTTTATCTCTTGAACATAATACTTATTTAGCGGTAAATTTGTAAGAATCGTTTAGAGTATATTAATTAATAGAGTATGTTTAAATAAGGAATGTCATAATTCCAGTTAATTGCATGAAAACATATTAAGTTGTCTTAAAATGATCGTCCGTGAGGGTTGTATAAATGTGTCCCTCACTTATTAGAAAGTCAAGTATGTCATCTAGATATGGCAATAAATTTTTTGATACGCGAGTTTTTAACACATCTCTTTCTATCCCATTTTCATTGTCATTCTCTGCTTGAATCACCTTAAATACTAGTACTTGTTCTTTGGTTAAACCATTAACATTATCATCTGTCATAGTCACATCATGCATTCCAGCTGATTCATGTCTTTCCTTTTCAATATTAAATATTTTTTCAGCTTTTAACGTTACATAGGTAACTTCTAATAAATGATTGGTCAGTTCATTCAAGTCAATCAAAGGCCTCATTTTTAAGATTAATACACATTTCTTTTGATTTTGTTCTCTTTTGTGTCCATATATTTTTACATAACTATTTAATTTAATCGGTGGTTCGGGTTTGTTTGTTGTTGCCAGCCAATGAAAAGCTGTAACACTGCCTGTAAAATATTCATTGATTAATGATAAACCTTTAATAATTGTTACAAGAAAATACATTGTCACAGTACCTGTATCATCTTCAATTTCATACGTCACTTTTGTTGTAGTTCGCTCGATCTTTCGTACAATTCCTACGAAAGTTACAATGTGAACTGGTATTCCCCAAAGTTGTAAATCATCGTTAGATTGTGTTAAATGCCGAATCATAATAGGAATTACATTTTCCACTCTTTTAGAAGTACCCCTTTTAGAATCTTGACTGTCATTCAAAAATCCACCTGATGTGTTCGCCACGGTGGCATTCAATGTGGGATTACCCCACATTATCTTCTATAATTTTATAAAGTAACAATCAAATTACCACTTCTATATTTTATAAACATATTTCTTTTTAATGATTCTGATAAAACAATAGTACCTGTTATTGTTTGTAGTCAGTCAGAACTAAAAAACGCAATGAACTTACATCTTTAACACTAGGCTAGATAAAAAAAACACCTGACAGTGACTACAGATGCAAAAGACTGGACATGCCTTTGTTTTCGAGGGGTCATGTTTTATGGGGTCCCAGACACTCCTGGATGAGGTCTGCATGCAGAGAGCACAGTCGGTATGATAATCGTGCCTGTTTTACCAGACCCTCCTTTACCGCAACCTACATGAAGCTAGCCGGAAGGAATAATAAAATATTATTATCTTTAATTTTTCTTATTGTTAGAATATTTCGTTTGTAAATCGTTTGTGATTGATTGTGAGTCTATTTTTAATGTTTGTGACAAATTACTTCTTCTGTAATTAGCAATTTTATTTCGGTCATGATGTACATTCTTTTCATCACTACATTCTCTTCATCCCTGCATTCTCTTCATCCCTACATTCTTTTCATCCATACATTCTTTTCATCCCTATATTCTCTTCAGCCCTACATTCTTTTCATCCATACATTCTTTCCATCCCTACATTCCTTATATCGCTTCATCCCTTATATCCCTACATTCCTTACATTTCTTTATCCGTTACATCGCGTCATTCCTTACATCTCTGCATCCCTTACATCTCTGCTTCCCCTAGATCCCAGCATTCTTCACATGTCTACATCCCTTACATCTCTGCATTCCTCACATTCCTGCCTTCTTTATATCCCAACATCCCTTACATCCCTGCATCCCTTAGATGCCTGTATCCTTTACATCCTTGTATCACTTATATTCCTGTATTCCATACATCCCAGTACCTCCCTGAAATTTTATACAAATTTAATTCCTTTTTTCGCCACCAGAGGGCGCTGGTTCGACATCGAAATTTTAGTTCACATTTTTGCCGTCAGAGGGCCAAAATTGAGCATGCTTTAGTTCCTTTTTCCAAAACCAGATGGCGCTGATTCGACATCGAAATTTTAGTTCACATTTTTGCCGCCAGAGGGCCAAAAATTGAGCATGCTTTAGTTCCTTTTTCCAAAACCAGATGGCGCTGATTCAACATCGAAATTTTAGTTCACATTTTTGCCGCTAGGGGGCGCTTTTTCGAGATTTTCGTGAAACCTTTGAAAAAAAACTTTACTCGAAGACGTCTTTGTAATATATTTATTATAAGGAATGTAGGGATGAAAAGAATGTAGGGATGTAAGGGATGTAAGGAATGTAGGGATGTAAGGGATGAAGCGATGAAAGGAATGTAAGGAATGTAGGGATGTAAGGGATGAAGCGATGTAAGGAATGTAGGGATGAAGTGATGAAAGGAATGTAGGGAGAAGAGAATGTAGGGAAGATAACAATGTAGGGATGAAAGGAATGCAGGGATGTAAGGGATGCAGAGATGTATCGAAACGGGGGATGTAAAGGAATTCCGCAGGGGTCCGGAGCTGGGGCCCCGGTCACTATTGCACGCGGCCCAAGGAGTGCCAGCATCGGGTATGGCCCCCGATGTCGGCGGAGTTTGGCACTTGTCGGAGGGTCAAAGGACCCTCCCTACAGCCCTAGTGCGGGCCACCGTGGTGGTTTTAGTGGGTAAAAATCCCACACTACCTTCGGCCCCTCCCCAGGGGAGCTGAAGGTGTCTTTCTGAAGATTTCCACCACGTTAAAAAAAAAAAAAAAAAGCAATTTAAGGTTTGCAGGAATGTAAGGAATGGGATGGAAGGAATGCAGGGATGTAAGGGATACAGAGATCGCCTTGGCCTATAATGAGGGATGAAATTATATAAATAACTGGGAAAAGTAAAATAAATGGTGTCCTCGGCTGAGGCCCAGAAGAGGGATATAATCATAAATGTTATTCCACTTCGATGAGCTTATTTAGTAAGCAAAAAAAAATAAATGAAGTAAATTAAATAAATTCTGGAAATAATTATATTTGTTGTGCCCTCTTCATACGCACCTGATTTCATCCTGCGGTGTTAGGGACCCCACTGCGCCAATAGCGCCCTCTATGTACCGACCTGATATCATATTGGGGTCTTAAGGACCCCGAAACACCAGTCAATGTCTCTACATATGGACCTGATATCATATTGGGGTCTTAAGGACCCCGAAACACAAGTGAGTGTCTCTGCATATCAACATTATAGCATCTGGGGTGCCAAGGAACCCGAAGCACCAGTCAATATCTCTACGTACGGACCTGATATCATATTGGGGTCTTAAGGATCCCGAAACACCGGTGAGTATTTCTGCATACCAATATTATATCATCCGGGGTGCCAAGGACCCCGAAGCACCAATCAATATCCCTACGTACCGATCTGATGTCATATTGGGGTCTTAAGGATCCCGAAACAGCGGTTAGTATTTCTGCATACCAATATTATATCATCCGGGGTGCTAAGGACCCCGAAGCACCGTAGATACTCTTTGCTTACCGACACTACTGCATTCGGGGTGTCTGAGACCCCGAGGAACCGGTGACACCGATATTATGCTGTTTGGGGTTTCAAGGACCCCGAAGCAACTAGCGAAATATAAGAACGAAAAACGAACAAATCGTGAAACTTACTTGTTCGGAATAGTGATGGGTTTGACCGGATCTAGCGAAATATAAGAACGGGAAACGAACAAATCCTGAAACTCACTTGTTCGAGGTAGTGATGGGTACGACCGGATCTGTAGCGCATGCGCACTATAATTATTTATTATAAAACAAACTTGTAAATAATTAAGAAATTATTCATACACAAGTGATCTCGAAGGAATCTGCTATTACCATCAACGTGCGTTAAATTGTTGCAGTGCGAAGTATTTCACATTTTTGTACAAGTATAGAGCAGATGGCGTTCGTTCTCAAGGCAGAAATTCAAAACCCCTGGAAAACAATGGCATGTCTTGAAATGCATGATTTACAGAGGACAGCACAATACACAACACTCTTCGAAGATAAGGTATATAAATCTAATATGTTGTTTTTCTAAGTTTTAAACATAACCTACTTAGATATGAAAACTAGAAAGTGGGAGTAGGTCTATTATTCGTAATCAAATAATCTTTCTGTAACAGTGAAAACGAATTAATTGAAAAAGTAATTACCATCCTCGTATAATTCAGAAGATTTTCATAATGGGCACTGTAGAATATGGTTTTCCAATGATTGGAGGTTTAATGCCAGTAAGCAGAATAAAAAATATATTTAAATAATTGATTAAGATATAACTGTTTTGTACATATAAATTTCTTTTCTCATTGTTTATTATCAGCAAATCCAAGCTCTTATAGCACCACCTGTATCAGAAGATTCTAAAGCAGCAAAAAATAAAAAGGACAAGGAAGAGAAGAAACATCCATATTTCAAGAGACGAGGACGTGGTCATAATCATGATATCTGTGATGCTTGTAGAGATGGAGGAGAGCTTATATGCTGTGATAAATGTCCTGCATCGTATCATTTGCAGTGCCAGTAAGTTTAGATTGTTAGAAAAAGAAACATTGAATGCTATATAAAATATTATTTGTAGTTATCCAGCTGTGGATCCAGCAGATATTCCTAATGGAGAATGGTTGTGTTATGCGTGTCGTTGTGCATCTAAAAGAAATCTCTTAGACAACAAAGGAAATGAAAAGAACAAGAAGAAATCTGCTTTAGAAGTATTGGCTTTAGCAGCATCTTTAGTTAATCCAAGAGAATTTGAGCTACCTAAAGAATTACAATTACCTATAATGTTTCCTGGTAGTAATAAAGTAGATTATGTATCAGGTAGAAGAGGAAAACAACACAGTGGAACAAATAATGGTATATGTAATATATTTATGGACATTTATGGCATAAACTAATTTCAGTGTCAGTAATACTTTTGTTATCTTAGTAGGGAAAAGTCATTGTTTAGATAACAATTTAATGGTGCCTTTGCCGGCACGTTTATGTTTTGAATGTGGTCGTAGTTGCAGAAAAGCGCCCTTAATAGCATGCGATTATTGTCCATTATATTTTCATCAAGACTGTTTAGACCCTCCACTGACTGCTTTTCCAATTGGAAGGTGGATGTGTCCCAATCATCCAAACCATTTCATAGATCAAAATTTATTGACATCGTGTCGAGTAACAGAACGTATCAAACTTTGGGACAAATATGCTAATCAACGTATAGATCAGCATGCAGTGAAACTAGATTTCTTACGTAAAGCACGCGCGACGAATCCATTATTCCGTACAAAAGTTAAATTAGAAGGTCGAACAAGAATAAAGGTTCCGTGTTCTGTAAAATTTCATTACGAACATCCACCAGAATTAGATCCTGTAAGATTTTATCATGACGCGGTTATACGACCGGTAACCAAAAGTACAGAGAATGGAGAGAATAAAGATTCTACGGAAGAAAGTATAGAAGTAAAACAAACAGAAGAATTAATGGATGTAGAGAAAGAAGTCGAAGAGAGTGGTGAAATAAAACAGGAAAATAATCAAGAAGAAACTAAAAATGATAAAAATGTTGAACAAGAAAATGTAAATGAAAATGAATGTAATGATGATGATAATAGCGTTGAATATTATGCGGAACATTACGGTTATAATGCAAAAGAAGGTATACAATTGCTTGAAAGACCAGTATTAGAAGCATTAGCGTTACAACGATTAGAGCAGATACTAGATCCAGATGGAGAAAATTATGATACAATTAATTGTCAAACGACGGCTAGAGCCGCATTGTTCTCTTTAAATAAGAAACCTAAACCACCAACTTTCATGATTCACAAAACGTTAACTATTGGAAGTGGGCCTAATTGTGACTTGGTTTTATCAAATTATGGTAACTGCAGTTTTACGTCATCGAAACATGCCATTATTTTCTTCGACGAGGTAATTATTATTTAACCTTTTTTATTTTTTACGAAATTCTTACCAATAATTACTTCTGATACTTTATTTTGGCTTGCAGAGTACCAGACGTTATGAATTATTAAATTATAGCGAATATGGAACGGTGGTTGATAACGTACTTTATTCTTGCAATTACACAAAAGTAGTAGAACAAGTGAAAGAAGAAACTGACGATAAAATGCAATTATTAAGTAAAGAACAGGAAACAACGGAAGCAGTAAAGGCTATTATAAAGGAGAAAGTTTTATCCGAAGAACAAACAGAGAGGAAAAAAGTATTATGTAAATGTAACTTAACAAAATATGAAACAAATAATAAAGATCGGTTAGAAGAGGGTTGGGAAGGAAGTGCTATTGTTGCTCATGGATCAACATTAGCATTTGGATGTTTAATGTTTGTATTTAACACTATAAATCCACATTTAGAACGATAAAATTTTATAATGTAAATACTCAATCATTTTCCTGTACAGATATTTTCGTAAGCTATCAATAATTAAATTAGTGAAACAAGTTCGTGTTATTATGAATTTATTAACTGTAGAAATTAATCCAGTGCTTCTTTTTTTTTTTAATTGGTCATGGGAATTCCTCTTATTGAAATCATATTCTCGTGCCACTTTTCAAGTCCAACGAAGCGCGGGAAAACTTACAATAGTAATTAAAAAAGCGTAATACCAAAGGCACCGAATTAATTTGTACATCAAAATGAATTGTTAGAAAAAATACTTTATTATCTAAAATTATTTTCATGTATTTATATCATAATTCATATCTTTATCGTCATCTTCAGTAGGTTCATCAAAATCTCTGATTTTAACATCATCGTCCTCTCCGTATTGAATTATATTATCGATTGTTAATTTAATATCTGCCATACTTTCTTCATTTTTTATATTTAACGGATAAAAACGTACTAAGCTGTAATCTTCTATAAGTCTACCTATAGCTTCAGTAAGATTCCGATACTTTTCATTCCAAGAATCTTTTTCCATATCTGCTAATAAGCTGTGTGGATCAGGTTCTAAGTACTTATCTAATTGTTTTCTCGCATTTTTGGATAATAAATCCATTTTACTAAGGATATTAATATGTGGTAATTCTAAATTAATCATCACGCTAAGCGCGGCCATTGTGCCTGATAAAAACTTCGATCCATCGATCATAAATTGACTATCTACCAAAAAGATTCCACAAATACGAAAATTCAGATTTTGTAACATTGTTATTAATTGACGAATGACTGTCATATGTGAATATAATTCTATCTGGCCTGGACAATCGAAAATTATATAGTCGTCATCTACATCGCCTAGTTTTTCTTCCAACCAAGATGAGTTTTCTATCAAGTATCTATAAACAAAGGTTTGAAGTAATCCTATGATTTACAATAATTTTTAAACAATTTTCTAAACTTACTCCATACAAAATACGAGACCACCGTTAGGTCCAAATCGTAATTCATCATCTTCCATGACATCATCTAATTGAATCAATTCTCTTATGTCAACTAGAGGTTCGTAATCAAAATATTCTGCCGCTGGATCTAAATTTACTACATCTATTACTTTTCTTTCGTCAGCTGCATGTTGTTGCATAGCAGAACAATACGTAGACTATGCAGAAAAGTGTATTTATGTTTAAACATTTTACTCTTAACGTACGAACAAAATTAAATAAACAATACCTTTCCGCTACCGGCGGGTCCCATTACAAGTTGAGCGTATCTCATTTTGTTCGTTTACTACAAATTAAAAGAACAAAACCTCGTAATATTTTAACAGGGAAGGTTAAGTTGGATAGGTTAGTTTTTAGGTTAGCATTTCTGCCCTTTTGTAAATGTATAATAAAACAGAGAACATTTAGTATAACAGTCGTGCCTGTCTTATCAGTTCTTGTTCTACCACACCTCGCATTCACAACTAAAGTGACATAATTTGGACTCCCTTTGATTTTATTTTTTAGAAATTAATCAAAATCAGTACAAGACCGAAAAATTATTAAAATAATTGTTAGACAAACTTGTATATAATTTAAAAACACCGCCATAAATTATTTTTGAAATTCGATCTTAGCGCCATCTATACAAAAACGGCTGAAACTACTTAACAACTTGCCGACAGGGATTCCGAGGGTACATAAACGCCACCTATCAGGAACTCGCTCAAACTAGTCGACAAGTAGTTTCCACTGTTATCGGATAGGTGGCGCCAGTGTTCCTTTGGAACCCCAGTCGGTAAATTGTTGAGTAGTTTCAGCCGTTTCTGTATAGATGGCGCTAGGATCGAAATTAAACAATTTAGGGCGGTCTTTTTAAAATACATACAAGTTCGTCTAACAATTATTTTAATAATTTTTTGGTTTTGTAAAGGCTTGAACACAATATTGTATCTACGTATAAATTAAAGTTAAGAAACCGACACAATATTTATTTTAATATTTTATTATCTATAATAACAATTACGTAGGAAATATATTCTTTTGAAATATAATCAAATATAATTAAATGACATCATTGAAAAAGAGAATTATAAATATATTTGATTTAAATTTACAAAGAATAAAATAATCACTCAATGAATTTACTTGAATAAAAATAGAAAAATAGAAAAACAATTTAATACTTTTAACCATGCAAAATAATGTATGTTCAACATAGTACAAAATAATAAATTTAATCTTACAATTAGTACTCTATCATATACAATACTACTTAAGTGGTTTTAAAATGATCATCTGTGCTTGTGGTATATATATGACCTTCTGAAACTAGGAAATCCAATATACCATCTATTCGTGGAAGAATTGTTTTTGGTACTTTTGCTTTAATTTCAGATCTTTCAATGCCAGATTCTGTATCATTTTGACCATGTATAATTTTATAAACTAAACTCTGTTCCCCTGTCATTCCATAATCAGGGCAATTTTCTAATTGTTCTCCATTTGTTGCTGCCATAGTACTATTTCCATCTCCTACTTCATTACTTTGTTTGGCCATTGCTTTAGATTTTAATACAATATAAGTGAATTCAAGTAAATGATTTGTCAATTCATTCAAGCTTTGCAATGGCCACATTCGTAAAATGAGAACATGTCTTTTATCATTTTGTTCTCTGAGTAAACCAATTATACGAATATATGTATTAACCTGTATAGTACGATCTGATGCTTTCCTATCTGCTTCTAACCACTTAAGTGCAACAATAGTACCTAAATATGTAAATTAAAAATAAAAGGGAAACTCAAAAAATAAAATAAAGTAAGGAGAATGAATTGAAACTGAATTAAACCTGTTTGGTCTTCGATATCGTAGGATATTTTCGTTGCGGTTTCTTCAACATTGCGTATAATTCCGATTAACGAAAATATACGTGCAGGAATACCCCAAATTGTTATTTCATCGGTAGAAGTAGCAGTAAGCAAATGTCCAATCATAATAGGAACGATAGTTTGAGTTTTTCGTGATTTTACAGTGTTTTGATCGTCTTTGCGACTAGTATTCGCAAATCCACCATCAAAAGTTGCGCTAGTATCCAAATGCGATTGCCACATAATGCTATTAAATTTAATTACAATCTTTTAAGTTTTGAGTATTTCTATTACGTTGATCACTAAAAATGTGCTAACCGGTCAGAATTTACGCGCGAACGTGTGATCATATATCATGTATAAAGACTAGATCAGCAACAAAATAAAGTATACCATGATGTAAGGTTTCTTCAGCAGATTTGTTTTTGCCCTATAAATAAATGATCACATTTAAAAAAAAACAATATTATAGTTGTTTTTATTTTAATTTTAATATATTAAAGTTATATAAAGAAATATATAACATCGATCTACAAATTATTTGAATATTCATTGAAAATATTTATGAACAAAAAGAGTTGAATAAAATACAAATCCAATTGCGTGATTCATGAAATGTGTAAGTTCGTTTTTTAAATAATCTGATAGGTTTGATTTTACATTTTAAATCATTCACAAAACTGATGTAAAACACCATCCAATCTCATTGGATATTTATATTGATCGAAGAACCGGCAATAATTTAAAATAAAAAAACATTGAAGTAAAAAAAATCAATGTAAATATGCCTTACGATGTGAGCATGCAGCGGATGAAGGAAAAGTTTGGTTTGTTGATTTAAAACTATCATAAAAAGTATCATGGCGTCACACACCCATGTGGACAATACCGTTAACGAACGTCGTTTACGTCCGATATACGGTAAGTACGCTGTAACTATATTTATAAATCGATACAATTTTAATTTTTTAATTTTTCTAAACGATATTTTTTAATATTTTGCTGGTAACAAGGTTATGTAACATTATGTATTTCAGATTGGTTGGATAATGGAAATAATAAGAAAGCACTTCAAGAAGCGGATAAAGTGCTCAAAAAGCAACCAAGCAATCAGTGTGCCAGAGTACTTAAAGCCTTGGCTTTGTTACGACTTGGTAAAGAAAATGAATGTCAAATTATTATGGATAAAGTACGTTCAGAGGTACCTTGCGAAGACTCTACTCTACAAGTTATGAGTATTTGTTACAGAGAAAGACATCAACGTAAGTTGAAATAATGTTCCAACTTTCCGTCTTAAGATCATTTATTATATATGATAATTGTAGCTGACAAAATTAGTGAAGTATACGAAGCTGCAGCAAAAGCGGATCCCAACAATGAAGAATTATTAACGCATCTTTTTATGTCTTACGTTCGTCTCGGGGATTATAAAAAGCAGCAACAAACAGCGCTTGCCTTATATAAATTAAAACCAAAAAATCCATATTATTTTTGGGCTGTGATGAGCATAGTTATGCAAGCCGTGCACGCGGATGAGAAACTAGCGAAAGGAGTTACCTTACCTCTAGCAGAAAGAATGGTTTGCAAATTTTCGTAGAATTAATATATTATGATAAGAAATAGAAATTATAATTTAAAACTATAATTAGGTACTAAAGTTGATTAAAGAAGGAAAAATGGAAGCAGAACAAGAAGTACAACTGTATTTAATGATATTAGAGCTTCAAGGCAAAAGCGAAGAAATGTTAAACGTATTATCCGGACCCTTAGCTTCGCATCTTTCGTCCGTTCCGCAACACAAAGCAGCGCTTTTACTAAAATTGGAACGTTATTCTGAAGCAGCCGATGCGTATAAAGAACTCATCAATGAAAAGTGAGCGCAATGGAGTTGTACAATATTTTACTTGTAACGGTATTTTAATATTTGTACGTTTTAAATAGTATCGACAACTGGGCGTATTACAAGGACTATCTTCTTGCTGCGCTCAAATTTCAAAAGCCAGAAGAGTGTTTAAATTTTCTCGATAAAGTTATAAGTACATCAGAGAAAAAGGTACGAGCTCCTTATCTTGCAAAATTTGAATTACTAAAACGTACTCATAGTGGAGAAGTCATTGAAAATTGTGTTGAGCCAGTAGATTTAATGCAACAGTATTTCTCACAATTTGGAGAAAAGGGATGCATTGTTGGAGATTTGCGACTTTATTTAGATCTGTTAACTCCTACAGGCAAATCGCAATTACTTCAAAAAGTAAGTAATAGGATAGTAAAATAGTATACAAGATAATATAAATATTTGTATATGTATTAACGTTTGTAGATAGAAGAAGATGTAGGCGTTAAATCGGAAGAATTTCCAAGTACCATACAACAAATGCAAAAACACATTCACTTGGAACAACTACGACGTATTTGTGGTTTCCATCATCTTCCAAATGCCGATATACAAAAACAGAAACAATTGGTAGAACGATTATGTAAATTATACGAAAAGGGTAACGAATTATGTCCAATCGAGGAAAGACTACCAACAGATTTTTGCCCTGCAGATTCTTACATACTTTTAGCTACACATTTGTTACACGAATTATGGTACAATACAAACGAAGCAGTTTATCTTTACAGGTAATGTTATCTTAAGAAATGATATTTAAGGAAAAAATCAGACATATTATATAAAAATAATACATTTTTACAGGGCAATGGCGTTATTAGAGCGCGGTTTGTTATCAAGCCCTGCAAATTTTCATATAAAAATTTTACTAGTACGAATATATTTAGAAGCTGGATTGGTAGGCGCAGCCGATCATATTTTCACGTTGTTGGACGTTAAACATATTCAATTAGACTCGTTGGGTTATTTACATGTGCCATTACTCGCTTCGCTTGGCCACCTTTCATTAGCTTCCATAACCTTAGATCACGCTACTAAATTTTTCATTGCAAATTACAAAGATGTATGTATTGGTATATATCATCAAACTGTGTACACCTAGATGGTAAGATATTTATTTTTCAAATTTTCATTGCGAACAGAGTGCGGATCATTTAACGTTCGCTTATAAATATGGAAGTTTCGTAAAGATTCAAGAATTCGTGGAATTGAGAGAACGTTTGGAGAATTCTTTTCACTTTGTCATGACCACTTTAGATAAAATGCTGTTGGAATTAAGTTGGTGCAATAGTTCAGCGACTCTGATCTCTACGTTAAGTAACATGGATATTCAGCCTAAAGAGGATTCGGTTCGTTTGAAGTCTCTACGGGATAACCGTGACTTAGAGGTAATTTATTCCAAGCTCGCCAAATCGATAAGTCAATTAATATGCTACATTTGAACAGGTCGTTCGTGGATGGGAACCGTTGCCGGTAAACGATGAAGATCCTCGAATGCAAGAAGAAACGCGTGCTTGCATGTTAAAATTACTTATAGCAAGAAATTTAATATTGAAGATTATAGCGGCGTGTGTGACACCTGATAGTTCTTCCCTTCTTACTCGACTATCCGGCGAGCTGGAACAGTTGGATAACGAACAGATTCCTCCGGTTCTTCAAAAGTTTGAACCAGAGGGGAAGAATAAAAATAGACCGTGTAAAATATTAGTTCCTATGGATGCGGTGGAAAGGTTACGCGAAGCTCATTATTCCGAACAATTAAAAACAATTGCTCGACTTGTCGAATCTCTCGCTAATTCTCGTTACCCTGATTTTGAATGCATTCAAATGCTTCGCGCCTCTCCATGCCTTCAGACAATAGACTTCCCTGAAAAAGGAGTTCCAGTGTCTTTCAAGCATTTTTTACTGAGAGCGTCCACGTGTAGTGAATCTCTTGCAATTATCAGTGCCATATGTACTTTGTGGGCGACACAGTTACAACCTCAGGCTTCGCAGAAGAAAAATAAAAAGAAGTGTAACAAGCAGATAACGTCAATTTCGTTAAACGATAATGACCATGTAAGACAATTTAGCAAATTCTCCATTTTTCTTATCTTTTCATTTGAATAATATATCGTTATTGTTTTAGAGTTGGAAAGAAGTTGCAACGTTACTTTCAGAGAGGGTAGAAAATTTAGATTCAGTGCTAACAGAATTTGAAAAATATCAGCTTCACACGGGACTAGATAACGAGGACGATGTATGTGCAGCGATAATCAAACACGGACAAGCCAGTCTTGGACAAAGTTGCAGATCATTGAAATCTCGTGCTCAAATCACGTTAAAACTTTTGGGCGGTTTAAAAAGCTGAAAACTGTACAAACATTCTTGTACAAAGAATATCCATCCAACCATTTACTGATTTTCAAAGCTAACTCATTTTATTGTGTACATAATTCTTAGTCCTAACCAATTATAAATATCGACTGAATTGTTTATTGCAAATTGAAATGATTTGAATTGTTTTCATTTCATAATTAAATTCATCAACATTTAGTAATTTAATAGTTCTTGAATGATTTTTCTTTTAATATTTTCACCTAGAAACGGAACACACTGCCACCTTATCTGGAGTTGTATTTAAAAATAACAAAATACAGCATTTATAAGATTTAGCCTAATGTAATTTCAATTACTTTAACAAATAGTGCGTATCTGTTTATTGTTACTTTTATTTATACATGCTTGAAAATTTCTGTATAATTTTTCAAACATTTATTTCGAGGTAACAGTGTGTATCTTCTTGGAATGTGTATAAGTGATCCTGATTAACTGTGTTATAATGTTACAAGTTAATTTTAAAAAAGAAAACGTTTTATTTGTTCCTTTTTGTTTTATGTTGAAGATTTTTAATTGTATTTTGCTTTATACACTGTACATGAATAAATCTATTATTTATTAATCATATAATTTTAACAATTGGTTAATTTTGTGACAATTTATTAAAATTTATTGTAAATAGAGAGATAATAAAGTTTTCTAAATTGCAACTGACGAGTACTACTGATTTCTTCTTTTTATGTATTAAACTAAGCATAGAAAATGGATGCAGGTTACTTCGAAAGAAGGAAAATTTGAATTTTTACATTTGTCAAGTAGCAAAAAAGGAAATTTCTGCAAAAAGCTTTTAAAAAATGTTTCATAGGTTAGAAAAATGTTAATTACAAAGTTTTCGACATTACCGACATTTACCACATTTCTTACATATTTTCTACACTGCATATAAATAGATATTATTTATTATTTCTATGTTCTGTCCACAAACACATAATTAAATTATTAAATTATTATTTATTACTTCAATGTCCGTAACACTTCTTAAATAACTATTGTTCATAGGTTGAAAATATAGTAAATATAAAATGGCGAGCTAGTATTTCATATGATTATTTTAATATCATTTTTAAACTGAGTGTAGGAAGATCTGTTTTAATTTAATCAAACAAAATAATTTATTTACCCACTA